TGAAAATGTGTAAAGGATTATTATTGACAAAAGAGCATTGTATAGGCATCATTTTAATCTCTTATGCAATGTATCAGTAGAATCAAAACAATATATTAGGAAAATAATCTGAGTATACATAGGTACGTTAAAAATAATGTACAAAGAGAGTTGGAAATATAAATACAAATCAAGTTCCCTCAATAAGTTAGTATTTTTAAAGGATTCAGTAAATTGCCATCACAAAGATATACAAACATAAGAAGCGCCTTTTTAAAATTATATTTAGTGAGCAGATATATTTGTTTTTGTACTTAAACTCTTATTTAATCCAGCCACAGATTGGGTTGTGCATGTCTGTTCATATATCTTTTTTAAAACCTCTTGATCTCATCATTTGTCATTTTTTGTATCAACCTTATGAGAAGTGCTACATCCCTAGCCTTCTAAATGTGTTCATGCTAACTCTTACAAAAGATACAACATGTGGTATATCTTTTTCCAGGATCTTTCTGTAAGAATTTCTTTCCATTTACTGAACGTAGCTATGAAGGATTTACCCTGCTATTTAAATCGTAGCTATGCTTTCCTTGCAACCACAGCTGAACAAACCAAAAGCTTGGCAGTCTTTAAAACGTACATTTATCCCAAACATAACTTTGAAGAAAGAAAGTTTCAGCTTTGCGTTATCGGTCATCCATAGTTTAGTTGCAGAGACACTAATGGCTGCATGTCAAGTACGTAACCACAATTACAAAGCAGATGTTTTGCTATGACAGAAGAGGGAGTGCTCGAGCCGTTTGAATAAGAATGAAAATATTTAGTTCACAGCCACCGTGTTGAAGCCTGACACTGGGCCAACAGGGTGAGGCTGTTTTTGAGAACTGAAAGTGCAGTGACTAACACGGGGGGTTAAGTTTGAGTTTTAGATTAGTCATTTATTTATATGCATTTTATTTAAATGTCAGTATGAAAGCTAAACTTCTAGAGTCCTGTTTGAACGAGAAGCAAATAAGCAAATGACAACACAGACAGTCAGCTGTGGAGTGTTGAAGATCCTGAGCTCTTTGTTTAAAACAACTGTGTGCAGGAATAAAATCATGAGTGCGGGTTTGAAAATGTCAGTTTTTTTGTGAGTTTTCAGGTCAAGAGGTCAAAAAGGAGAGTTGACCTGAGACGTCAAGTAATCGAGAAGGGATACATAGTTAAGTCGCCAAAGTTACAGGTATAATTCACTCACATTAGCAACCATTTTGTATTCCAATACAGCTCTATAGGTGGGGGGTTGCGAGTACATTGTGTGTATGTTTCATAACATTCATCTACTGAGACCAATTTTTGCAGATGGTCAATGAGCAAAATGACATTCGCAAATGACAAATAAGTTACTAGATAAAACTAGCAAGAGTGGATCAAAAAAGAATGCTTTCTTATTTGTTCTGATGTTAGAATGTAGCTTCTTTCTGATTGATGTTAAATGTATATGTTTATATTTACTGTCGGATAGATAATGTAAACTGACACAGGTTATCAATTTGCAGAATGTCCTATTTGTGGTGTCTTCCTTCATGTTTTTTTCTACACATCTTAACCGTCTTGTGGAAGACACTAGAGGGAGCTGATGGTTTACTCTGACTCTCTCTGCCTGTCTCTCATCCATAGTGAGTAGAGCATCAACAACAGAGAACACAGAGCACTCTCATTACCTCAATGAAGAAGGAAAACATTACCAAGTGGCAGAGATCCTAGTTAAATAAACAGAGCGGAGTCGAGACAGTGACAGAAGTAAGCTGGCTTTACCCGTCTGTCTGTTCTGTGACTGCACTGTAATTTAAAAAGGTTACTAAAGGGTTACGGTAATCATATAAGAACACACAGCATAATGCTATGATAGCATTGGGAGCATGGATGCCAATTTGTTGGGCTGGAGGTATATATTTGTGGATAGTTTTCTATATACTTTACACAGTACAGCACATTAACAACAAACTTCAGATTTTCTCTGGAGGATTGGAAAGTGTTTTGGTGCCATGTTGGTTAAATGATGTCATGATGTTTTGGATTGGAGAAAGCTCTTCTGCCATGCACTGCTATATTTAATGTTTTCGTGCCATGCTTGTCCAGTGTTTAATGCAAACTACAATTACATTTACAGTTTGTTTTTACGGAGATACTGTTGATGTTATCAGTACATTTCTGGACAAATCCCTCTTATTTTCCATCTGCAAAGTGGAAGGTGAATTGTATCACTTGGGTTAGTTGCAATCCAGACTAATTCTCCATATTTAAGATTTGCTGGTGCCCTTTTTTGCTGTCATCTCAAACAACAGTCAAAATGTCATGAAGTTAAATGCATCTCCCAAAAAACAACTTATTTTAGTACGAATAATAATACCGATACTGTCCTGTGAAAAGCATGCACAACTTTTCATGAGCACTGAAAACAAAAAGCTAAACCATTTTCTGTGGACCGTGATGAACACTCTACTTGTGTAAACTGTTTTTGTGGAAAATTATAAAGTGCAACTCTCCCATAAGTGTTATATAATATGATGTCACTTGCACTACAACACCTTATTGTAACCCACCCCTAATAAGAAGTATACACATTTAATAAATGGGTTAATCCCTTTATTTATGTAGTTTCCCACAACCAAACTCGTCCTCTGAAGCATCCATAACTGAATGATGATATATAACAAGGTATTTAATATGTTGCATCAATCGAAACTTTAAAATGACCTTATACCTGATTATAACTTATTTGAAAGGTGATTAAGAATACATTATATATGTATAGATAGATGATAAGAAAATAGTTTTAAAGATCCCATGTCATGGCCATTTCTACTGATCATAATTCCATTGTTGAGGTCTACTAAAATAGATTTATACTGTGCAATTTTCCAAACTCACATTGGTTTCTCATACAGCATCTCTGTAAAGTATGTGTTTTCACCGGTATTCACTCTCTGTCCTAAATGCCCTGTGAGCCCAGTGTGCTCTGATTGGTCTCTGGCTGGAGGCTCATTGCTGCTCGCAGCCTGTCTGCTCTGCTGTGCTGATCAGACAGACAGGCTTCCGTGTCTGCGACTGCGATACACAGAGAACAAGCGAAACTCATCCTGAGCACACACAAACACTCACAGGCAGCCGAAGTAAAAACAATAAGTGTGGCTTGATATTGAGTAAGAAAAAGGTTTATATAACGCTGTGAGCATGGGTCTGCGGAGAGCATTTCTCCGCGATCCCAACTTAGTAGTCCGAAACCCGTTTACCCATTTAAACAGTCGGCTTGTTTGTTTTAAACATCATAAATACACAAACAACAATGAATATTACATTACATTGCATTTAGCTGACACTTTTATCCAAAGCGACTTACAATAAGTACATTCGACCAGGAAGACACAACCTTGAAGAAAACAGAATCATATAAGTACATATGAATACTTACAGGTTGTGTACCCGAATCTCTCGCTGGTCCAAACAAAGTAGGAACAGTATCGTTCTTCAGTGCCCTACGATGTACATATCTGGCATGAATCGCTGAAAGGTTTGGGAAGCTTTGTTTCGTGAAAGGCTGGCAGAGGGTGTGGCCATAGCTCTGGGCGTGGCTACTGGGTATCCCTACGTCACGATACCCAGGAAGAAAATGAGAAATCTCCAACGAGGCGTTTTGGGGAGGTATTTTCGGTGTTACGGCCCGTCCACACTACAGCTTCAAAAAAAGCTTGGAGCTGGGCGTGTCTGAAACTTGGGGATTTTATTCGAGCAACGCGACCAACAACCAATCACATGAATCTCCCGCCCCCGACATACAAAGCAAAAAAAACCCGGGGATTTTATGCGAGCAATATATATATATATAAACTCCCCAAACAGGTGAAAACCTACCAGTTTCACCCACTGTCTCTGCCACCTCCCTCCATGACTGGTTCTTCCGGTTTGTATCCCAGTAGGTGAAGAGGGTCTGGTCATACAAAACCGGGTGATTTGCTACGGCGATAATTAGTTTCTCCTCCATCTTTTTTTGAAATATAGAAATGAACGGTGGGATATCTCTCCCAGCTTAGACGCGGTTTGATTGGCTAGGGCTTGAGCTGTCAGATTTTCAGAAACGGGATTTGATTGGCTGGCGCTGGCGGCGTCTCCGGCGTCAGAAGTTGAACATTGTTCGACTTCTGACGCCGGAGACGGACCGCTATGCTACCCACAATTCAATTCGGCGAAAAGCGAGGCAACGTGACGTCACCCCATTCAAAGTGAATGGGCAGACGCGTTGGAAACTGTTTTTGAAGCTGTCGACGCTGTAGTGTGGACGCAGCGTTAGAGTTGTACTCCCTGCAGGGTGTACTTTGAGGGTTTTTGACTCTGCAGACCGTTTACATGCATAAAAACCTTCATAACACACAAGGGGACGGGTAATAACCGGAAAAGCATGACATGGGACCTTTTTAAGGTACGTTTTTCCTCTTTTTATAATGTCAAATATATATACGGTAATTTTCCAACAGTTTCAACTTACTATTCTGTTGATTAACTTCTATACAAAGACATAAAGTGCAGCTTTGTGTGTGAAGTTTGTTTTCAGAGGAGGTGATTTCATGACCTCCACACCTCTGCAGCATCCCAACAGAGGCTGTCAGTGGAAAGTGGTAAAGAGACACTTAGAAATAAGGTGGGGAAACACACAGGCATCATGGGTAATGATCTGGAACATGGTGTACTTCTCCTTTAGTTGACAAATGTAAATGAGAAATGTTTACGCATTTTATTATTTGCTGGAGTAAGATGTTGGCTCGAAGCTTCCCACAAACCGCAGCAGTATCCTCCAGCAGGGTGTGGGGAGAAGGTGGGCGTAAGGGGTAAAAGAGGTAGAAAACCCTCCACCCAGCCTATTCCTCTCTCCCCATCCCACTGTGCTCTCACTCCCTCCCTCCCTCATTCACTCACACTCCTCTCCCTCTCAGTCTCAGGGCTCCAGGTCGGAGGACTCACGGAGGAATCTGGAAGCGAAGATGCGGGCGGTCGTGGCCGGGGGAGTCGCTGTGCTGTGCGCGCTGCTGGTCGCGGTGCTGCCCGGCTGTGTGTCCGAGCTGATGACGGTGGTGCAGGAGCCGCTCAGAGTCGAGTCTTCCCTGCTGAAGCCAAAGGTTATGATCGCCATTGTGGCTCGCAACGCGGCGCACAGCCTGCCACATTACTTGGGCTGCATCGAGAGGCTGGAGTACCCGAAGGAGCGCATAGCGATCTGGTGAGTGACGCACAGGGATGCAGTAGTGGGAATATGTTAATGGGGTTTACCTAATTACTGTCCGACTGTTCTAGTAAAACTTTGTGGTGCTAAGATTTCTGCAAGTTTGTACACTTTTTAAAGTAGTCTCATTTAGAGGTGGAAGATGTACTAAGATATGTATGGGATTAGTTTTGTTTCATAAAGATACATGTAAAGCAACACTTTCTCAGAATCAAGCAAAACTAAGAGTTTAAGAGAAAAACAACTGAGCCAAGCAAAATAAATGTAATTTCAAAAATAAAACTATAAGTTGCAAACAAATCATTTGTGTAATCATGTAAACTATAAATATGTTTTCATTGTTTTAACATATCTTTTTGTTTGCAGTTCTCTTTGCTTCTTTCTCAATGATCAGACTTTTGGCTGCAGCTCTTCTCGTTTGCACTCCCTCATTTTTTGTTTTCGATTTTGACACAAACGTCCCAGGTGGGTGGGACTTTCAGGGGTGCGTCCCCATTGGCTCAGTTTTTGAGTGACAGCCCACTACACCACAGAACATACAGTGCAACTCATGCACCGCAGCTGCACTGTACAATCGCTGGAGAACTGGGCTGTCACTCAAAAACGCACCCCTGAAAGTCCCGCCCACCTGGGACGTTTGTGTCAGAATTGAAAACAAAAAATGAATTCAAAAGGTTTTCTTTGTGTATGTGCGTGTCTGTGTGTGTGTGTGTGTGTGTATATGTTTGTGTGTGTGTGTCTCTGTGTGTGTGTGTGTGTCTGTGTGTATGTGTTTGTATGTGTGTATATCTGTGTGTGTCTGTGTGTATGTGTGTGTGTTTGTATGTCTCTGTGTGTGTGGGTGTGTGTCTGTGTTTGTATGTGTGTGTGTATATCTGTGTGTATGTATGTGTTTGTATGTCTCTGTGTGTGTGTGTGTGTGTGTGTGTGTGTGTGTGTGTGTGTGTGTGTGTGTGTGTGTGTGTGTGTGTGTGTGTGTGTGTGTGTGTGTGTGTGTGTGTGTGTGTGTGTGTGGTGTGTGTGTGTGTGTGTGTGTGTGTGTGTGTGTGTGTGTGTGTGTGTGTGTGTGTGTGTGTGTGTGTGTGTGTGTGTGTGTGTGTGTGTGTGTGTGTGTGTGTGTGTGTGTGTGTGTGTGTGTGTGTGTGTGTGTGTAGTGTGTGTGTGTGTGTGTGTGTGTGTGTGTGTGTGTGTGTGTGTGTGTGTGTGTGTGTGTGTGTGTGTGTGTGTGTGTGTGGTGTGTGTGTGTGTGTGTGTGTGTGTGTGTGTGTGTGTGTGTGTGTGTGTGTGTGTGTGATGTGTGGTGTGTGTGTGTGTGCTACACCCTAACCCTCTCTTGACCTTCACTGTCAGACGGAATAGCCCTAACAGCCTGATCGTGTCCCTTCTGCCCATAACATGTTTTGGGTCCATTTCCTGTAAATATCAGTAGAGGTAAAAACATTGATTAGGTTTATCATTTTACAGCTGAGCACATTTGCACACTTGTATGATATTGCCTGGAAAAAAGTGGTCAAGTGGCACAGTGTTGCCCTGAGGCAACGAACAAAAAAAACATAGTTTTAGCTAATTAATAAATACATAATAAGTCTTTAAACAATCAAATATACTTCTTTACGTATTCATATGAGCACATGCATGTATTTTTTATTTTAAGTTGTGTACATTTCTAATATGTTAAAAAGTTAAATGTATCTTACCAAGTGGTGGCCCTGAGTCCCCTGCAGTTTTGCTTGCAGAAAGGACTGCTCCACCCCCAGACAAAATGCCACACCCATATAATTCCCTCATTTTATTGGACACCAGCATGTCAGGTGACATTGTGTATATTTAAAAAAATATATATATTTAGAGGTGAAAAAAGTGGTCTGTTGCCTGAGGGCAACATTATGCCATAGAGCAGTGTTTCTCAAACTTTTTCATACCAAGGACCACTTAACCAATAAAAAAACACTCGAGGACCACCTAACTCCACAAATATCCAAAAACACATCGTTTTTTACAAATCGCCTGAAAATGGTACCAACAAGTGGCAACATGTGTGGTGAAGGTGTTTATCTGGGCTATATCATGCAATTGAAAGTGAAACTTAAGCTTGCTCCATTGCGGAGATATTCCCGCGAGAGTGCGAAAAACTTAAATTACTTAATTAATTTCAAATGTGAAATGTTACCAATATACTCACGGACCACTAGGGGGCTCTCACGGACCACCAGTGGTCCGCGGACCACACTTTGAGAAGCACTGCGAGGGTTGGTATACTGCAGCGTAGCTTGTGAATTTACTCCAGGTTTAACTAAAGTCTGACTAAAGTGTTGTTTATATTTCACATCATTAATCCAAATGTGCAAAGTAACTAAAGATATTACATAAATGTAGTGGAGTAAAAGTACACGATTTAGCTCTGAATTGTAGTGGGGTAGAAGTACAAACTAGCAATAATGTAATGACTCGAGTAAAGTACAAGTCCCTCAAAAGTGTATAGTACAGTCCTTGAATAAATGTACAACATTTGCATAGTTTCTGGACAGGTTTCAGAGTGCAGAGCACAGTGATCTTCAGTGCAGCGTGCAGTAGCCTAATAGAAAGAAGCGTGTGTCCGCGTTAATTATAATAACATATTGTCACTATTAGCTGTTGCTGCGTTTTACGATACATCCTACCTCGCGTGTCTGCAGCTTCAAAATTGCACACTGTGGCAGAAGATGAAAGGGCTGCTGTGCCTGTTGGCTTAACCCTTAATCACGGTTCCCCCCGCCTGATTCAGCACTTACCTGCGGAAACTGGGCCTTTAAAACAGCAGGTATGAAAGGAGGGAGGGGGGGGGTGGAGGGGGGGTTCACCCCAGGTAGGGTCCTATAGTTTGTTTGGTCTCATATGAGCAGACTGAGATATAATATGAAGTTAAGAGGCTACCTGCAGGTGAATGGATGAAAGGAGACATTGAGCTGGTCTGACAGCAGGATTGGGGGGTGTGTGAGAGTTCTGGGAAGTCATGCGTAAAATATGTGTTTACGGTCTGCATGAGGGCTATGCAGGCTGATGAGAATCAAAAATAAGTCTGACTCAAAGCAGCTTCATTATCAAAGTTCAGATTTGAAGAATGCAAGATGTAAAATTCCCAAGCATCTCCGGCGGATGATGTTTTCAACGTTCTGGAGACCCTGTTGCTTTCCAGCTGGCATTCTTGTGCTTCATTTCCCACCCTTTCCTTTCCTTAATGTCTTGCTTATGTTTGCACAACAACTGTCTGCTCCTAATTTTGGGGACCCTTACCAAAATCACCCACACATGCTCACTGGAGAAATTCAATCCAGAGGTGGGGCGTTCTCTGTGGAGAAAAGTGGCTTCTTAAGGTGGTTTAACTTTTAGAGGAAGAGCCCATCAGTTATGAGACTTATCTCCCCACCCTGCAGTCCAGCCCAGAAATAAAATAAAATAAAAACACACTGTACATCTAAAGCACATCAATCAGGGTATTTTTTTGTTTTAATTGCAAAGTATCCAAGGCAGAGACATTTATCATGGACACATAAACACACACATAAGGCCTCAGTCATCAGCCTCTGACACCACACTGTTATACTCAGGCAATTAATTTTATTTCAGCAGCCACGTCAAAGCCTATATACTTTCCACTACTGTGGCCCAACTGTTATAAAGTATTCCGATGTTTACATAAGAGTTTATAACGCATTATGCTTCCAATGCAGTAAGATTATTAGTGAACACTTATGAGCCTTTCTGCACACGAAGAACATAGAGTGTGAAGTATGAGGGTCTTTCAAGAAAGCTTTTAATGATCAGATTAAACTAAGAACTACTTAATTGTGGCGCTGTTTGTGGCTCTGATGGCAGCTGTACATCGGTAGAAAATAAAGAAATACTTAATACATCTTAAGCAATGTAACAGTGAGGATTTTTCTCAGCATGAAAAACTTTATTGGCATTTTGTGTCTAAATGTGTTAAGAAAATTACACATTTAACTCAACATGACTCCCGCAGTTCTTTAGCTCTTTGTTTCTTTTTGTCAACATCATTCATTTATCACCCAACACGCAAAGCTGAACCACCCAATTAATGCCAAATTGTAATTCAACTCTCTTTAAATCCACATTACAGCATTTTGGTGATTTACAGAGCACTAACTACAGTTTAAAAACCCACGCGTTGTCTAAAGAGAGGTAGTAAAGGGGTTAAAGTGGACCTATCATGCTATATTTGAAATATATTGTAGGGCCATACCTATATAAAACATGTCTGTGAAGTTTTTTATTCAAAATACCAAACAGATCATGCATTTTAGCCATGCCTCATTTCGCTCTATTTGCTCTTTTCCAGCCCTGTCTTTGCGAGGGCTGATTCTGCTTTTGTGGCAGACTACAGCGCCACCTACAGGCCTGGCATATGTACTACAGCGTCTCCAGCGCTTTCGAGCGGTCTCTCATTCCCCTGATAGGTGGAGAGATGCCCATATGGGCGGAGCACCCCTTTTCTGACGTCAGAAAAATTCAAATAATAATCAGCTCCATTGCAGCCCCGTTTTTAGAGATTTGGGTATGGAGGAAAAGAGAGAGGGTTGTGTCTTCTGACACTTGGTGAATTCCCTGACACACCGGGGACACATATTTATGTATAAAAGACGTACAAAAGTGCATTTTGCAGGATAGGTCCCCTTTAAGCTAATCCAGTTATATTTAACTTCAAGATTCAATTCCTACTACTGAAATGTACTTTTAAGGCATGTTTGTCTCAATTCAGAAGCTTGGCAAATATAAAGTGGGGGATGACGTGCAGGCGGGGTTCTCCATCTGGACTCAAGCCAAGAACTTTGCGGCTACATGAGACATCATCTTTACCCGTAAAGCAGGGTTCTCCTCTTCTATCAACAGCTTGTCTGGACAGACTGATGGAAAGTATGGGGAAACTATCGAGAAGAAACATATAAAACCAACAATGTCTGGATTTGTAGCTACAGTTTCTGTATGGGGACAAAATG